AGTGCGTTTTAGAATCGATGAAATAAGATAATTCAAAACAATCTAAAGTAAGTGACGTAATTGCAGTGTTACATTATGTAATAATGTGTTCATTTATTTTCAACACATTATTGTATGTGATATGTAATATTTTAACGAATTTCGCTTATTAGAATTGCCATTTAATATATTCCAAATATTATTTAGAAACGTGAGCACAATAACAGGCGCCTACTTAAAATTAAATTAACCCATTTGTTATTCAACGCTCTAGTCATTCACCTTCGTCTTTGGATTGATGAATTATACATCAGCCAATTTCTTCGTCTGTCAATACTGTACTAACTTGAAGATCATGATCCATGTCCACCTGTTCACAACATATTGTACTTAATTTTCAACAGAAATATTTGTTACTTATACAAATTTATTAAAATACAGTGTGTTCTATCTTTTAAAGGCATCAACAATGACCAATCGCATAAAGTTATTTTGGATTTTACTGAGTATTAACCGATGACTCAACAGCTGCTCTGTCTACTGCATAGTTAATACACGGCGCGAAAATATGTGGTCCATGTGGCTGTGAAACAGGAGTTTAGAGTCGACAAATATTCCTAAGTCTTTAAAACTGACGGTGCGTGATAGAGGACTGAAAAAGTTCTTAATCGAAGATCAAAGTAGTGTTTTTTCTTGAGAGGGAAATTACTCGTGACCTCAGTGGTGCACCAACCTCGCATAGAGTCAATGTCAGTTTGAAGTGGCAAGAAAGATTTTATCATCAGCGAAAAGAAGGCGTCTAGAAAGATTAAGCATTGATTTTATTTTGTAAAAATCTGTGGTAGAAGTCACAGATTATGCAAGTCAATTAAGTTGTTGCGATACTTCAGTTGTGATAATGTGTTGTGAATTCTGTAGGAATATTATAGAACATAGTATCCGTGGTGTTGGTTTAGTTGTGACAATTTATCACTGGTAAAAAAAAATTAACCTTAAATTTTACAGTGGCATTATATGCAATGAAAACGTGTTTGAAACACGGGCAGTATTAAGCATATGTTAATACAGAATGTAAAAATAGTGGCAAAGTTCCGGAGTTTATGTTTCATTTGGTAATAAATAAAAGTGGTTATGTGTTGTGTATTAAATAATTGTGTGTCTGTTTTTAAATTTAGTATAAACTATGTTGCATTACCATGGAGGTAAACACGGAACTCAGGAAACTTCCTCCATCAGCTGTTTTTGGTCTGGTACGTATCCTAGAGACTGGCAATGCATGGAAGCAGCTGATGGCCATTGCTCCACGCAGTAGGGATGAATTTGGCGATTCGTTTGTGCCAAAATACAAGGTGGAACATATGAAGTAAGTATCCATAGGCCATACAGTTCCATGAACTGAAAGTATGTTCAACAAAATTAAGCATGTGTCACAAAAAAATCTTGTATGATACAAATTGTTTTCTAACTATGCAGTGTACGTATTTGCAGAAAAGCCAACATAAATTGTGCTATATCTTCAGAATTTGCATATAACTTACCCCACACATTGTTATAAATGTAAGTTTTATAGAGATTGATTGATGTTTCTTCCAATATACCCAATTTCAGAGGCACATCAGGTTTGATTAAGTTGATGTTTGGCCAGAGGTGTCACATAGTTAAGTATAGTTATGTTGGGTCAAGAAGCCATATGAAAGCGAGAATAAGCCAAACCATTCAAAATAATGTAATCTTAACCCACGCTGAGTCTAGATTTTACTTCTATTATTAGTCCTTAATAGCAACCTGACATTGCAAGTAGTTAATATTCCTACTTTATATTTGTGGGGTTTGAATTGTATACCTTGGCCCAGAGATCATCAACCCTGGTAGGTTTCTGTAACAAGCTCGACAGTTATTTGGGACATTGTCTTGATTATTTGTTAAAGAAAGGTTGGGGGGAGTGTTTACTCTTGTGCACCTCTTAGAGCTTGCCTCCAGCACTGGGTACTTACTGAAGTCTGGGCCAAGTAATATTTACTTGTAGTATCAAATATAAT